GGAAGGAGGGAGAGAGAAAGAAAGAAACATTGGTTTGTTGTTCCACTTATTTATGCATTCATTGGTTGCTTCTTGTATGTGCCCTGACCAGAGATCAAATCTGCAACCTGGGCATATAGCGATGACACTCTAACAAACTGAACTACCCAGCCAAGGCTTAATTATTGTTTTAAGGACATAGTTCTAGAAATGAAATTAAGGATATGAATTTTTAAAAACAGTTGACATATACTGCATGATTGCTTCCAGGAAGGTTCTATTTATTTTCAGTAAGTCTGGATGTTACTTTGTGCCATTCTCACTATCACCCTTGCCAGCACTGAGCAGTATTAGTATTTAATTTTTTGTGGGTTTTTTTGTGTTTGTTTTGTTTTTTTACTTACTAATTTGACAGTTGAAAATGTCATTGTTATTTTACTTTGCATTTCTTTGATCACCTGTGAGATTGAAACAATGTGCTTCTTTCTAAAAATTCTTAAGTCTCTGTGTCAATGCTTTTGTTCTCTTTCGGTGATTTGAGTTTTCTGCAGAGCAGCTCCCTTCCCCAACTTCCTGATCTCTGACAAAGGCAGTGTCATTCTCCTGATTCCCCCACTTTCTGAACCAAGAGTTAAAAAAAAAATTTTTTTTCTTTTCTTTTTTTGTGTGTGTGAAACCCAAATTTATTTCTATTTAAAAATGCTCAAGAGACTTTAAAAAGGCCCAAAGGCCCAAAAGCCCAACGACGTCCAGGTTTAATTTCAGATCATCCTGACTTGGCGTACTTCCGTTTCTCCTTTTGTGAGGCATCGATTTGATCCTTGTTAATGAGACACCTTGGCAATTCTAGTCGGATTGTGGTGACATCTTGTGACTCCCAGTATCTGTTATAAATGGCCATCAGGTTATGAACGATGAGAAACATAAGACCAGAAATAAGCACGAGACGTCTGCAGATTTTACTTTAATATCCTTTCTGAATTATTCTTTGCAACCAAGCCCAGTGATCAATTTGAGTAGGGGAGGTCATGATGAGTGTCACCTGCAAAGACTGGTATTAAATGCAGCTCTTTCAGAAAGAAACCAGCAAACACCCTTCAAGATGAAACAGCCCAATTTTTTCTGCTTCAATCCCTGGTTTCCTATCCATCACCAACTGTGGCCATTCCTTCCTTTGGAGTGTTTTTCTGCCCCATCTTCTTTGTTCCCATGGGAACGCCACGGTCATTCACCAAGGCCACGTGCCTCTCCGCTACTACAGTTCTCTCTGCTAATAACTAGTCTCTTTCACTTTGATTTCTCTTCCACCCGTTGCAGCACTGACTTCCGAAGCAATGCTCTCCACATCTCACTCTCTAGGCCATTAGACTAATCTAGAAGCTTCTGCCTGACATTCACCCCAGCATCACTTCCCAGCCAGAAACCTCCACACCCGGGTGGTTTCCTCAGTGCTTTGAGGTGGTTGCCCACTGGAGCTTCCCTCCTTCCTGGATGACCTCACTGCTCCCCTTCCCTCTAGTCCACTGCCTTTACCTCTTTTAAGTCTTGGTTCAACACTGGTCTCCTCCATGAATTCATCCCAGACCCAACCACACTCTTGACCTTTCACACCATCCTGCATCGCTTTTGCAAAGTATAGGACAGCCTGGACATGTGGGCTATGATGGGCTCAGAAGAGGAAAAGGAAAGCAAGGAAGAAGAATTCTTTTAGGGAAAGGGGGATACATTTTGAATCAACTGAGTTTGGGTGATGTCAGGCTAATCTGATAAAATTATCCCCTTGGGCCACTGGAAATGTAGGCCCAGAATTGAGGAGAGGTTGGGAGTATCAACTGGAGAATCATCTGCAGAGCTGATGGGGGATGCAGTGGAATTTAGAGTATCTATAGAAATGGGGAAGAAGATCCAAGACAGAGTCTAGGGCAGTGATAGCGAACCTATGACACGCGTGTCAGAGGTAACACGCGAACTCATTTTTTGGTTGATTTTTCTTTGTTAAATGGCATTTAAATATCAAATAAATATCAAAAATATAAGTCTTTGTTTTACAATGGTTGCAAATATCAAAACATTTCTATATGTGACACGGCACCAGAGTTAAGTTAGGGTTTTTCAAAATGCTGACACACCGACTTCAAAAGGTTCGCCATCACTGCCCTAGGGTAACACCTAAATGTGGTTGTCAGAATCAGAGTCCAAAAGGAAAGAAAGGGAAAGGTGCTTAGATATGGAGGAGAGAACCAAAAGAGGTGAAAATGGGGCAGAACTAAAGAAGGCTACTCTTTCAAGAGTTCTGGTAAATTGTGGAGGAACATAGTAGGATTTCAGAAAAACTGGGGAACTGAACAATGTGTAGCTCCAAGGGAAAGGGCAAGTAGGGTAGGAACAACTGAAGGGACAAATGAAAGGGGTGTTGGGTGAGTGATGGAGGAGGGTCCATGTCCTCAGGGTGGTGGACATGGGCAGGGCTGCGCTGTGCCCAGGGCTACAGGTTCCTAGAGAGGATGAGCCTGAGCAGGGGGGAAGGGGGGATGAGGTCTGGAAGAGGAGAGAAGGGTGAATGCATGGCCAACATGGCATCCAGTCTCCCGCACCAAGGCCAATATAGGAAGAGGGCCTATGACTGCTCAGGGAGACAGAGATGGTGCGGAGAGGGTTGGGGATGGGGCTTTATCTCAGTCACCTTCTTCCCACCCCAGCAAATATGCATTCCAAGTAAAAAAATGGTGTGTTTGCTATGTAAATGTGGCTTCTAAAGCCCTCCACAGGAATTCTGTGCAGCTGCCACTGCACAGGGGGAAATGGTTACTGAACAAGGACTTCCTCTCGGTGATAGTTGTTAGATACTAAAAGAGGAGACTGCATGTCCATGACTGAGGAACTAGTACTGCATAGCGTACTAGTGCTTCACAGCGTACCTAACCGGCCTGGATTTTAATTCCATTCCACCACTTACTGGAGTCAAAATTCAAAAGGCAGAAAAGGGGCCCAGCGGAGTGGCTCAGTTGGTTGAGAGTCATCATGTGCACTAAAAGGTTGCCCATTCGATTCCCAGTCAGGGCACATACCTGGGTTGTGGGTTTGATCCCCGGTTGGGGCCTATAAGGAAGGCAACTGATTGATGTTTCTCTCTCTCTCTCTCTCTCTCTCTCTCTCTCATCTCTAAGCATGTTCTCAGGTGAGAATTAAATTTTTTAAAAAGGCACAAAAGGGTATATAGTGAAAAGCCCCCCTCCCACACCTTTCTCAAGGGTATTCACTTCCTATCCCACAGGGGCAACCAAGGTTACCATTTTATTATGCTTACTTGTAGAAATATTTGTTCATATACAAGGTAGATAGATAGATAAAGATAGATACATTTCCCACTTTTTTAAAAAAATATTTTTTTATTGATTTCAGAGAGGAAGGGAGAGGGAGAGATAGAAACATCAATAATGAGAATCATTGATTGGCTGCCTCCTGCACGCCCCACACAGGGAATCAAGCCCACAACCCAGGCATGTGCCCTGACCGGAATCAAACCATGACCTCCTGGTTCATAGGTCAACAGTCATCCACTGATCCATGCAGTCAGGCTCCCACTCCTTTTTAAACAAATGGTATCCTATTTAATATCTTGCTTTATTCTTATATATTATTCCATCTCAGTATATAAAGAGCTTCCTCATTCTTCTTTCATAGCAACCCACTGAATGGATGAACTATAATTTAACCTATCCTTTCTTGGTAGTCATTTAGTTTTGTATGTGCACTTGCAATTCTGGTATCTACACTAATAAAAGCCTAGGTCAGTGGTGGGCAAACTGCAGCTCGGCAAACTGCGGCTCGCGAGCCACACGCGGCTCTTTGGCCCCTTGAGTGTGGCTCTTCCACAAAATACTGGCTCTTCCACAAAATACCCACTTCTGCGCATGGGCCATGAAGTTTCTTTTTTTTTCTTTTTTCTCATGAAGTTTCAATAGCACTGTACGTACACGCCCGCACGTGGTATTTTGTGGAAGAGCCACACTCAAGGGGCCAAAGAGCCGCATGTGGCTCGCGAGCCAAGGTTTGTCGACCACGGGCCTAGGTGGTCCTTGTGCCCTCACACCCTCGCACGAGATGGCCACCATAAGATGGCTGCACGCACAGCAAAAGCTGGGCCCGGTGGGGCCACTCCATGCGGTGAGGCCTGGGAGTCCTGCAGCTCCATGCGGCATGGAGGAGGCCGGTCTCAGCGGAGGAGGCGGGTTGTGGCAGGGGAGGGCAGTTGTGGGCAGTTGGGCCAGCAGGGGAGGGCAGTTGGGGGTGATCAGGCTGGCAGGGGAGCAGTTAGGCATCAATCAGGCCAGCAGGGGAGCAGTTAGGGGGTGATCAGGCTGGCAGGGGAGCAGTTAGGCATCAATCAGGCCAGCAGGGGAGCAGTTAGGGGGTGATCAGGCTGGCAGGCAGGTGAGCGGTTAGGAGCCAGTAGTCCCGAATTGTGAGAGGGATGTCCAACTGCCAGTTTAGGCCCGATCCCACAGGGGTCCCACATTGGAGAGGGTGCAAGCCAGGCTGAGGGACACCCCCCCGCCCCGTGCACGAATTTTATGCACCGGACCACTAGTATATTACAAATTACTTTCCAAAGAAATTACACTGGTTTAGGTTCCTGTCATCATTATGTAAAGAAGAGTTTGGGCAACTACTTAATCTCTCTGAGCTTCAGTTTCCTTATCTGCAAAATAAGCAAAACAGTGCTATTTGTTGGTTGTTGTGCAGATTATTTGGGATGGTGCATGTAAAGTGTTTGGCATATAAAAGCTGATGTTTTCTAAATATGATATTACTTTATTTTGGATTAGTGAGATATTGTCCTGGCCAGGTAAATGCATGTGATGGGACCTCCTTGCCAGCCTGGGGTTCTCTGACTAGGACAAGGGCAGATTCTGCAGGAAATTAATAAATCAGATGAGAAGAGTTGTGAGCCGTGCCTTCACCAGGGGTACCATGTCTCCAGCATACCCCAACCTCCTCCCTATGACTTCTACTCCCAGGTCCCTCCAAGCTGAAAGATCGTGTCCATTCAGCAAAATCCCTGTGGAATCAAGGATCCTTTCCTCTGATCATCAGTAATCTTGAGATAACAGACTCAGGGATTTATAGCTGTACAGTGGACAACAAGCAAACAGAAGTGGAACTTGTGGTGTTCAAATGTGAGTAGGGCAGACCTGGGGTACAGACACCTCCAGCCAATCACCCTCCCCTTCCCTCCTATCCCTTCACCCAAATCAGGGCCAAACTAGCTGTCAGTATTTCAATAGTCCAGAGCCAAGTGAGACTGACCACCACATCTCCTCAAACCCTCCTCAAGCCTTGGGTTAGATATGGAGGAGAGGAAAAAAGCTAAAGGGAGGGAAGGAGAAGGGCAAGGACCAGAGGAAAGGCGGGGGGGGGGGGGGGGGGAGACAAGGAAAGAGAGGAGAAGGAGGAGGATGGAAGTGGGGAAGAAGAAGAGGAAAGCCCTGCCTAGGGCTGGGGGTGGACAGCTGGGCATTGACTGAGAGAAGGATGTTGGGACAGGGGTAATGGAGACACTCTTGGTTTCCCGGCTTCTTCCCTTCTCCTTGGGGATAGAGTGTGTGTGACACAGGTGACCTGCTCTCTCCACAGTGAATGCCAATTTGGATATCAAAAATCGCATCCAGCTGCTGCAGGGACAGAGCCTGACCTTGACCTTGGAGAGCCCCCCTGGTAGAAACCCTTCAGTAGAATGGAAAGTTCCCGGGAATGAAAAGCAGAATAGGGGCAAGAACCTCTCACTGTCCCAGCTGAAGTTGCAGAACAGTGGCACCTGGACATGCACCGTCTCCCAGGACACAAAGAAACTGGTGTTTGAAATAAACATCTTGGTACTGGGTAAGTGCTTCTCCTCTCTCCTGCAGACCCCCCCCTTCTCCTCACGCCCCTCCCTACACCCCCACCTCAAAGGCTGACAGACTCTCCCTCTGCTCTCATTGCTCTGCTCCTGGGTCTGGTACTAGAGGACAGAGGGAGGCCAGGGCCAGGCTCCCCCAAAGCTGAAGTCTATCCTAGGGATACACTGGGCCCTCTCTTCCTCAGGGTGGTGGACATGGAGGAAGGAAGGGAGATGGGATGGCAGGATGTGAGGGGCCCCCTAGACCCCTGAAGGAGGCCCCAAAGGAAGAGTGTCAAGGACACCTATTTTCTTTGTTGCCTCCACTCCCCACTCACCCACCCATTTGCAAATCCACTTACTCACTGGGGGATACTAGCCAGCCCTGAGGAAATGCTACATTCATCTTTAGAATCCTGAGCTAGGCACGGGGGTGGGGGTGGGGGGGCCGAATGCAGGTCTTGTCCTCCGCGGGTGCTTGTGTGACACAAGGTGGGGCAGTGTCTGCACTTGGATTCAAATCCTGGCTCTGACAACCTTGGACAAGTTACTGAACCTCTCTGTGCCTTGGATTCTGTAAAGTGGGGATGATGCTCACCGTGATGTACCCACCTTGTGGTGTCATGGTAAGAATCAATGCAATGTAAGGCCCATAGAACAGAGCCTGGCACATAGTCAGCCTATGTAAGTGTTTGCTCTTATCTTGTGAAGGGTGCTAACTTAAGCACCTTCTTAGGTGCAGGCCAGCCCAGCTCATGAGGCTCAGTGGTTGAGTGTCAACCCAGGAATCAAAAGGTCAAAGGTTCAATTCCTGGTCAGGGCACATGCCGGGTTTGTGAGCTCCATCTCCAGTAGAGGTGCATGCAGGAGGCAGCTGATTGATGATGTTTCTCTTTCATCGATGTTTCTGTCTCACTCTAACAATCAATAAAACCATATTAAAAAATGAATAAATAAATGCAGGCCATATACCTTCTGTGCTCCCGGATCCTAAGGAAGGAGAGGACGCCTCTGGCTGGGCTGTTCTACGAGGGCTTCCAGGGGGAAGAGGAACATGCTGGGGTGGAGAGATGAGAGGGATTAGAGAGCTAGATGGGAATTTAAGGGCCTGAAATGACAACCTGGGTGTTTGAAGGCACCTGGTCCCTTTCCATCTTTTTGCTGCCTCCACCAAATGCCTACCCCACTTTGTACACCCTTATCATTCTACCTCCTTCTAACCCAGGTTCTCTCCCTTCCTACCTCCAGCTTTCCGGAACATCTCTGACACAGTCTATACAAAAGTGGGGGAGCCCGTGGAGTTCTCCTTCCCACTTACCTTTGAGGATGAAAACCTGGTCGGGGAGCTGAGGTGGCAGGAGGAGGGGACCTCCTCCCCTCAGCCCTGGATCACCTTCTCCTTGGAGAACAGAAAGGTGACTGTGAAGAAGGTTCAAAAGAAGATCCACCTGAAGGAGACACTGCCGCTCACCTTCAGTCTGCCCCAGGCCTCGCTTCAGGACGTTGGTTCTGGATACCTGACCCTGAATCTCAGCCAGGGGCAGTTACATCAGAAAGTGAACCTCGCGGTGATGAGAAGTGAGGAGCCGGGCTGAGAAGGGGAAGACGGGGACAGGAGGTGGAGGGGCCTGACCAGGGCTCCTTCTAAGGCAGGACTGGCCCCCAAAGGGATGCCTAAGCCCTGGTTGTCTGATGGGGCTGATGGAGGGCCCACTGGTGTGGGGCTGGTTTTGAACTAAAACTGGAATCCATATGTCCTTTCCTGACATCTGTGAGCCAGCCTAGGGCACATTCCACTGAGAATCCCCAAAGGGCATATGCTGACAACCAGGGTTCTAGTTCTGTCTCTGTCTTCCCACCCTCACCATGACCCTGGCTAACCCCCCTACCTGTGTGTGTCTGCTTTCTACTAATGAGGATGACCACATTTGCTCTGAGTGTACTAGTGATGATGACAATGTCAGGCTCCACACTGAGTTCTTCACTTCTCTATTTCCTTAATCACCATAACAACCCCACAAGCAATAATGGCTAATACTTGATGCTTCCCACATGCCAGGCCCCATTTAAGAGCCCTACAAGTACTTGTGCATTAATAATTGTCTGGGACTCAGGTTGCTAAGTAACTTGCTCAGAGACACAGATCGTAAGCTGTGGGGCTGGGATTTGAATCCAAGACTGTTCTGTTGGACCTCAAAAGCTGTGTTTTCTCTGTTAAAGCTGTATGACAATGTGCTTGAGATGCCAAAAGAGGAACTCCCATGTAAAGTGTCCTTTTGATTGTTCTACTGATTCCCCTTAGAGCATGGAGGTGCCAAGAACTCAGAGGTCCAGGCTCCTAACCTCAGGTTCTTGTCCCTCTACAGTGACTAAGTCTCAGAACCAATTGACCTGTGAGGTGTTGGGGACCAACACCTCCCAGTTGATGCTGAGCTTGAAGCTGGACAACCAGACTACAAAGGTCTCAGGTCATCAAAAGCTGGTGCAGGTGAAGGACCCTGAGGCGGGGATGTGGCATTGTCTACTGACTGACAACAACAAAGTCCTGCTGGAATCCAATGTCGAGGGTGAGTGAGGCCTAACCCCAAGCCCCTGCCTCCTCAGCTGTGGGACCTTCCCAGGGTTGGCAAAGAAAACCCAGAGTCCTAGCCTCCCAAGTCTCCTGAGAGAGGTGGGTTATGTGCATGGTGCCCGGACACAGGGGTGATAAGGTGAAATAGGGTATGGTCCTGGACCCTAGGGACCCACCTGTAGCCCTGAAAGTTCCCAACTACCCAAGGTCTGCAGCCCATGAATGGGGCCCACCTGACCAAGAGTCCCCATCCTTGCTCCTTTCCTAACCCAGCCACAAGCACTCGCCCACGTGTGTGTGTGGAAGGCACATAGGATGGACCACTGCTCCTAGCTCCCCAGAGTGCCCTGTAGTCTTCAAACCTTAAAAACCCTTCCCCAGTCTTTCCCCTCCAGCCTGGTGGCCTGGGAGAGCCCAGAGGATCCTGCCCCAGTCTCCCAACCTCAGCATCAGGCCCAAGTGTGGCTGGGCAGCCAGGCCTTCCTCAGGCCTCCAGAGTGCGGTGCCCAGAGGGAAGGTAATGTGGGCTGAACCCACCTCTCTTCTCTCTTGCAGTTTTGTACTCAGAGTTAATCCAGGCCTCGCCAAAACTCCTGGCCATTGTGCTGGGGGCAGTAGGTGGCTTTCTGATTTTCACTGGGTTCTGCATCTTCTGCTGTGTCAAATGCTGGCACCGAAGGGTGAGTGAACCTCCTTAGACCTCAATTCCCCCCCTCTCCCCCCCGCCCACCCATACACACACATAGCGACTAGGGTGTCCTGTCTATGTGACCTGCTTCTGCTCTGTTTCTCTCTACCCACCATCGAGTTCCCTTATTGCAGACTGGGCTCTGTCCCAGATCCCAGGGAGGGAGAGGCAGGAAGGAGCAGAGAGTGAACTCTGGGACAGATGGCCTCAGCCACAGTATCTGCTTCTCCTCTCCCAGCTTTCCCCACTCCCCCCTCCAAGGGGCACCTCCCTTCTGGAGGCCTGGGACCCTCACTACTCCTCTCCTTCTTCCTGGACAGCGCCAGGCAGTGCGGATGTCTCAGATCAAGAGACTCCTCAGTGAGAAGAAGACCTGCCAATGCCCCCAGTAAGGAACTGGGGGGGGGGGGATGAAAGGGGGGTGAGAATGGGAGGGCTAGGGGGAGAGGAGGGAGAGGAGGGATGCAGATGAGGAGATGGGGGCTAAGGGAGGTGGTGGGGGTGGGGAGAGAAGGGTACAGCGGGATGGCTGAGGAGGTAGGAAGCAGGCAGAAGGTGGAGGGAGGATGTGGCCCAGAGGCCATTACCAAACTGGAAGAGAAGAGGGGCCATGGAGGTCCTAGAACTCCAAGGAGTTGGGGAGGAAGAGCCTTGCTCCTCTTCTGCTTTTATCCTCCAGCCGGCTCCAGAAGACATGCAATCTCATTTGAGGCACTGGCCAGGGGGAGCTTCCCACTTGCAGCCTCCCCAGCTGTCTACCCTGCGTTTCCTGTTGGGCTCCGGGGCCTGGGGACCGGATGAATGTAGCAGATCCCAGCGCCTTTGCCATCTCCTGCTCTCCTTGTCCACAGCTGGCCATTGGGTCTCCTCTTCCAGAGGCTTACTCGCACCGCCGCTCCCCGATTCCCTCTTCTGTTGAACCCTCGCCCTTTGATTATTTCTTCTGAACTCTGTCCCTCACGGCCCACTTGGATCCCAGGGGAGCACTCAGGACCAGCCCTGCCTGGCCTGCAGTGTGAGGCTGGGTAACTGAAGCATGAAGCACAGGATTGTCATCTTACAGGGAAGAACCTTGGCACCAGAGAAGGCAGGGAGTAGGCCAAGGTCACACAGCCCATCAAGGACAGGTCCAGCTCTAACCGCTCCACCGTTCCATTCTGACACACACCCTTGTCCACAGCTCACACTTGTGCACTGACACAATTCCTTATCACCCAAGCAGCACACTCAGTTTATAAACCAGTTCCACATCCTTTATCTATTTAAACCTTATGAAAGTCCCACAAGGCCCTAGCCGGTTCGGCTCAGTGGATAGAACGTCGGCCTGCAAACTGAAGGGTCCCAAGTTCGATTCCAGTCAAGGGCACATGCCAGGGTTGTGGGCTCGATCCCCAATGGGGGGCGTGCGGGGGGCAGCCGTTCATTGGTTCTCTCTCATCATTGTGTTTCTATCTCTCTCCCTCTCCCTTCCTCTCTGAAATCAATAAAGAAATATATTTTTTAAAAAAAGAAAAAGAAAATCCTACAAGGCTGGTAGTGACAGGACCAAGATTAGCATCTCCGGTTTATAAACCAGAAATGGAATTCACAGAGGTCATATTGATTGCCCAAGGTTGTAAGTGCTGGGGCTCAGACTGTCCCAGACTGCTTGACCCCTAGTTCTATGGCTGTTTCTTGAACACAGAATAGATACCACAGATATCTCTGCAGCTGGCTAGTCACGGGTGCTCAGTATGTACCGTAGGGTTCACAGGAGCACCTCGGGGAGGCCTGCCTCAGGAGGTCAGAACATGGAGGAGGGCCTTCCTGCCTAAAATCCCTCACCGCCTGCTGGAGGCAGAATCCTGTTACCAAAGGACAAAGCCTTCAGCTCTCCTACTCAGGGCACAGGCTGGGAGCAGAGTTCCCAGGGACCTACCACGTACCCTGTACAGAACCTTCTGGAAGGTGAGCCTTGCCAGGGCGGGCAGGCACTGGGGAAGAGTGAACCCACTGAGAGGACTTCCTGGGAAGGGTGATGGTGCTTAAGGTTACACGTACTCTTCCTCTTAATTCAGTTCTCAGGATCCCTAGCCTGCTCTGCCTCTCCTTCTGTTCTTTCTCACAATCTCCCCCAGTCCCTCTGCCCTTTCCCTTCCCTTCCTTTCCAGCCTGCCTCTTCCAAGAAGCACACCCAGGTGCTGCCAGAGCTCCCATTGCTTGCTTTGTATTCCTGCCCCTTCCCCATCCCTACCGGCCGAGCTGACAAAAATACAGTAAACTTACTATAAAGAAGATGCTCTTCTTCATTTGTGTGTGTGTGTGTGTGTGTGTGTGTGTGTGTGTGTGAGAGAGAGAGAGAGAGAGAGAGAGAGAGAGAGAGAGAGAGAGAGAGAGGTGGACTCTTCTCTGGGGACCCAGAATCTTCTGATCTGTGGGGCCAGACCCAGAGCAGAGGTTGGCAGGCTTGGCCCTAGGAGATGAGGTTTCTCCCGACAGGAAAAAATTATCTGGAGACTGGTTACCCACCTACCCACCCCCAACGGGGCCTGCATGTGTGTGTGAGGCTAAGACTTTGTAGTCACACGTGTGTCATGGATGCACGAGGGGGAGAGTCTGCAGGGGGTGTGCGTTCCTTCCACACATGCATATGTGTGTGCTGGAGAGCCAGGACCATGAGAAACTGGGATGTGCGCTTGCAGATTGTGTGTATCCCTCAAGGCGCGTGAGCTTGTGTTCCCGGAGGGGTGTGTGTGTGTGTGTGTGTGTGTGTGCACCCTTTTAGACCTGTGCACCCCGCCCCACGAGCAGCCCAGCGTCAGCAGCACCCCTCACTGCCCCCAGCCCCCTGCACATGCCCGCTGAGCTGCAGCCCTCACAACGACACACACAGTGACACACGGTGACACACGCTTCCTCCTCCCGGAACAGCCAGCTCCTCAGCCCCGAACACCGCCAGCTGCCTCTCGGAGCTGGGGTTCGTGTGGAAACCGGGATGGGGTGGGGGTAGGACACGAGCCGTTTCACCAATGAAGTCGGTTCCCCTCCATCCTCCTCGCCCCCTCCCTCCCGGCGCCTTCCTCGCCCCTCCTCCTGCAAGTCACCGCCGTCCAGTCCCCCGCCCGGCACTTGTTCCCCTTCCCCGAAAAGCTCGCCTCCGGCCCTCAGCGCGGGGCTCCCTGGCTGGAGGGCGCAGGGGCGGGGGGAGCCCCCAGGGGCCGAGACCAGCGCGCGGCCGGCTGGGCAGAGAGGCCGGGGCCAGGGGAGGAGGGAGGCCGGGAGGGGGTGGGGAGGGAAGAGGAGGGCGGGCGGGCGGGAGCGGGCGGGCCGCGGGAGCCCGGCGAGCGGTGCCGGGAGTGCGGTCTCCATGGCAGTGCTGGGCGCAGCCGGAGGTAAGCCGACCCCTGCCCGGTCCCCCGCGGTCTCCTCCCCTCTCTCCCCCGCCCCCCAGCGGCTTCCTCTCCCCTCCGGCCCGCCCCTCCTCCCCAGCCACCTGCTGTTTCTGCCCTGGAGAACCTGGTGGGCGGCAGGAGGGAGGAGCCGCGTGACCTTACCCCTTCACCCCAAAAGGCAAGGGGCCCAGTATCCCCCCCTGGAGTCCCCCAGGTCCCCCGTCCCACCTTCCTCTGATTTTTCTCTGCCCTTCACCTCCCTCTCTGTCCTTCAGATCCTTCCTGTCTCCGTCCCTCTCTGACTTCCCATCTCTTCCTTCCTGAGCCCACCGCTGGGCCTGGGCGGGCGTGGGTGGGAGGGGGTCCGAGGTCGTAGGGGAGGAAAATGGGGGAGGCGCTGCTGACCAGTTCTCCCCACCTCCCTCTGGCTGGCCATTGCCATAGCAACTAGGGTGCACTGGGCTCCAGAGAGAAGACAAAGGTTGGGTGGGCCAGGACCTCTTGGGGAGGGCAAGGGTCTGAGGTTCTTCCAGAGGAATGGACCCTCCCACTGCGGTGCCCCCCTTTCCTCCCATTTACCCCAAAGCCATTGTGCCCGTCCTTCCTGCCTCCACTCTGTTTGGGGCTGCACCTGCTTTCCTCTGAGCTCCCTCCCCGGGGCTTACTGAAGCTCAGCGTTCGGCGTCATGAAATTCAGAACTACCCTCCCTCCCATCAGAAGGAAACTGAGGCCGGGGCAGGGAGGAAAGACTCACTGTCTACTGGTGGGAAGCAGCACCTCCGCACATTGAGCTTTTCTCCCCAGCCTCTCCATTCCCTGTTGCCTCTCTCCCTCCCTCCACCCCTCCCTCCTCCAGTCTCCTCTCCAGGGGTCTCTGGGCTTTTCCTTCTATTTTCAGATACTATCACTTTGCCCCCTCCTTCTTTCTCTCCTGCTGAAACTCTCCTCCTTCCCCCTAGTTCCCCCTCTTTCCATTTCTGGATGCTTCTGATGTCAGCGGTTTCCCCGCCTTCAGGTTCCCTAGGCCCCCCTTGGTCCCAGCCTCTTTTCTCCCATCTTCCCAGACTCCTGGTGAGCAGGAGGGTGATCATGCAGACATGGAGAAATGGGGCTGAGCACCAAGACCATGGGCCCGGGAGCCGGGAAGGTGGGGGGTGGGGGGGCTGTAATACCATATCCCAGCTTACCGTGAACCCTCAGGAAGAAACAAGTCATGCATGAAGATAGTGGTTGAGTGGTACTGAGCAGGGGATATGAGGAGGAGGAACCAGAGAGTGCCAGAGGGAGGAAAAGGGGCTGAAAAGGGGTGGGAGACAGGAGGTCTGAGCACCTTCTTTTCTGGAGGTCTGGAAACAGGGCTCTTATCTGTGTGGGGTGGTTGAACAGCTATCTGATTTAAGACAGGAGAGTGACCCCTAGCAATCAGGCATTTCTATGGTTGCATGAGAAGGGGAGCACAAGAAGCCAGTGGGGGACCAGCCTAGGCCTTATCTTCGCCCTCCGCCCTTCCACATCTCATCTCTCCCTTGCAGTTTGTGCAGGAGGCTGAGCCTCGCCCCCACACCCCTTGGGGCATCCAGAAGATCCCTGACTGGTCAAGAACCAGAGGAAGAAGAGATCTGCAAGTCTGGGCATGGGGGCCAGAGCTCCCCAGCCAACCGCATAGTTGGCAAAGCAGCCAGCTTACCTCCCCGGTCAACTACAGGGAGGGTCCCTCTCAGTATGGAGGTTGAGGACCACCTCTGCTGAGCCCCAGTCTCTTCCCCTGCCCTCCACGCCTGACCTTAGCTGGGTCAGTTATGCAATGCTGAGCATTAGGGTGGGCCGAGGGGCTGCCTGCCTCACTACAGGGCAAGGACTGTGGGCATCATGGCGGTGTGTGTGAGTGGGGCTCCTGGGTGAGACCTCGCCCCCACCCCCAGGAGTTCAAAGGGGGTGGGGGGCTGAGAACAGGATGGCTCGGGCCGGGGCCGGGGCAGAAGAAGCCTCCCTGCGCTCAAACGCGCTGTCCTGGCTGGCCTGTGGGCTCCTGGCCCTGCTGGCCAACGCCTGGATAATCCTCAGCATCTCTGCCAAGCAGCAGAAGCACAAGCCACTGGAGTTGCTGCTCTGCTTCCTGGCGGGCACACACATACTCATGGCTGCCGTGCCCCTCACCACCTTCGCTGTGGTGCAGCTCCGGCGCCAGGCTTCCTCTGACTATGACTGGAATGAGAGCATCTGCAAGGTCTTTGTGTCCACCTACTACACACTGGCCCTGGCCACCTGCTTCACAGTTGCCTCACTCTCCTACCATCGCATGTGGATGGTGCGTTGGCCTGTCAACTACCGCCTCAGCAATGCCAAGAAGCAGGCGCTGCATGCTGTCATGGGCATCTGGATGGTCAGCTTCATCCTCTCCACACTGCCCTCCATTGGCTGGCACAACAACGGTGAGCGCTACTACGCCCGAGGCTGCCAGTTCATAGTCTCCAAGATTGGCCTCGGCTTTGGCGTCTGCTTCAGCCTCTTGCTACTTGGGGGCATTGTCATGGGGTTGGTCTGTGTGGCCATTACCTTCTACCAGACGCTGTGGGCCAGGCCCCGGAGGGCAAGGCAGGCCCGGAGAGCAGGGGTTGTTGGTGGGGCCAAGGGGAGTGGGCCAGGGGGCTTGGGTACACGGCCAGCCTTTGAGGTGCCAGCCATTGTGGTGGAAGATGCCCAAGGGAAGCGGCGGTCCTCGCTGGATGGCTCCGAATCGGCCAAGACATCCCTGCAGGTCACCAACTTGGTCAGCGCCATCGTCTTTCTCTATGACTCACTCACAGGGGTGCCCATCCTGGTGAGATTGGGGTCCCCCCTCCTGTTCTCCCCAAACCAGCCCCAGCACGATCACCTGACCTCCAACTCCATCATCCATCTTCCTCTCCTCTATCCAACCCCACTCCATCATCCATCTCTATCATCCATCTTCCAGTTCCCATTACCCCCAGCTCCATCATGTTTTCCAGTTCCCAGTACTGAACGTCATCATCCATTCATCCTTCAGCCCCACGACCTCTCCTCCTGCTCCATCATCTGTCCTGAGGCTCCACTATTCAGCCCCCCAGACCTATTATCCAGCAGCTGAGCTCCATTTTCCATTCCCTGATTCCCTCTGGATATCACAAGGTCTCTGAGTACTTCTGGGTGGAAACCCCAGAGAGCTCACCCCACCACCCCAACTTTTTGCATCCCCAGCTGGCCCCTACTCCTACATCCCCATCTGGTCCCTACTCCTGAATGTTTCTCTGCCTTCAGGCTTCCTGTACCACCTCTGCTCCTCTCCCTCTGGACCCAGGGCTTTGCTCTGGAACTCTCCCCTGACCTTCCTCCGAGTCAATCCCCTCCCCTCTATTCGTTGTCTCCACCTCCAGCTTGGCTCCTGTCACGATCCGGTGTGACCCCGGCCATCCCTTCCTGACTTCTTTCCCACCAGCTGCACTAGGATACCGGATCTGGGGTGAAGTGGGCCCCCTGAGCTCTGGGCCCTGACGCGGCGCCATTCCCCATCCTCCCACCAGGTGGTGAGCTTCTTCTCGCTGAAGTCGGACTCGGCTCCCCCGTGGATGGTGCTGGCCGTGCTGTGGTGCTCCATGGCACAGACGCTGCTGCTGCCCTCCTTCATCTGGTCCTGCGAGCGCTACCGCGCGGACGTGCGCACGGTGTGGGAGCAGTGCGTGGCTATCATGTCCGAGGAGGATGGCGAAGACGGTCAGAAGAGGGACAGGGCTTTTTTTCTTGGGCGTCGGCTCCCTGTTCTGCCCCTTTCTACCAGTTCGTCTCGGTGCGGGGACGGGCTGCCTGGAGTGCCCCCTGCTGGACGGAATCTGCGCTGCCCCTGGGCTGACTCCACGCTCCCCTTTCCCCAGTCGTATGTCATGACCACAAGCCACCGCTTCGTTTTGCACTAAGAGCTCCCTCCAAGGGGCGCCGGTTCCCCTGTGGAAGTCCACACTGTCCAGCTGTGCCTCCGCGGGGCAGAGTGTCCGAGAAACAGTCCAGAGCCCTAACCACCGTAAAGGAAGGGTGTGGAACTAAAGGGAGGCTGAGCTTCCTAAAAAGGACCCCAGCTATAGGGACAGCTTTTGGGGTGGGGGTACGCTTGTTTCAATAAGCATGTGTATATGTTTGACGCACTAGGGATTCAGCATTGAACCAGTCTGAACCATTCAGCAACAACCCAATCTCACTTTCCTCTTGGAGCTTACAGAGTAGTGGGAACAGAAAGATTCTCCGGGAACTTACAAAGGGGGGTGGGAGATTTTAAAGGGGCGGGGGGGGGGGGGGAGTGGTGGGCATTCCTCGCCTGTAACCACTCTGCCCCTTTTCTTTCCTAGATGGGGGCTGTGATGACTACGCAGATGGCCGAGTGTGCAAAGTTCGATTTGATGCTAATGGGGCCACAGGACCAGGGGACCCCACCCAGGTGAAGTTGCTGCCTGGGAGGCACATGCTCTTTCCCCCTCTTGAGAGGGTCCACTACTTACAGGTATGGGACTAGGGAATATACCTCCTATTCTGGGTGTCCCCTAATTACTTTTCTCCAGTCTCTGTTATTCACCCCCAACCCCCCATTCCCTAGCCCTGGTCTGCAGGGCACATAAAGAGTAGGGGAAAGAAAGGTATGGCAAGAGAAGCTCCCCTTCAGACCTCTCAGAACCAGGTTTGCCCATCAGAGGATGTTTGCAGTTTAAGGGGGTGTGGGGGGTGGGGTAGAGCCATCTTGCAGAGTCCCCACTTTGGCCCCTTCAGCACCTCTGGGTCTACTTGCTCCTCTCTCCAGGTCCCTCTGTCCCGCCGTCTGTCCCACGACGAGACCAATATCTTCTCTACTCCTCGGGCACCAGGGTCCTTCCTGCACAAGTGGTCATCCTCTGATGACATCCGGATCCTCCCAGCGCACAGCCAGGCTCTGGGAGGCCCTCCTGCGTACCTGGGACACAGACAAAGGCTAGGGGATGAGGAGGAGGAGGAGGAGGAGGAGGAGGCTGAAGGTGGAGGGCTAGCCAGCCTTCGACAATTCCTGGAGGGTGGCATTCTGGGGTCAGGTGGGGGTCACCCACAGGGGCCTGGCTTCTTCCGGGAGGAGATCACCACTTTCATTGACGAGACACCTCTGCCTTCTCCAACTGCCTCTCCTCCCTGGCCTAGGCCACTGGGCCTCTCACCCCGCCGACTCTCCCTTGGGTCCCCTGATAATAGAGCCATTGGACTTCCCTTGGGGCTGAGTGCGGGGAGACGCTGCTCCCTGACAGGAGGTGAGGAGAGTGCAAGAGCTTGGGGAGGCTCCTGGGGTCCAGGTAACCCCATCTTCCCCCAGCTGACCCTGTGAGCCCAAGTGGGCCTGTTGGACTCAGAGGAAGGGGCCTGGGTAGGTAACGCCTCCTTCTGGCCCTGAGCCTAAGGCAGCTGCCTCCAGACTCTAGGGAGATGGGCACTGGATCTGGGGTCCTGGGGCACCTGCTGTCTCCCATCCAAGTAACCAGATGCCCTACTCACCTTCTATCACCCCTAGTAAAATGTATTAAAGTCTGAAGTGTTACCATGGAAACCACTGTGTGCAGTGTGCTGTGGTGGCAAAGGGTATGGCCAGTGGCTTGGGGGTGGAGTGGCTTACAGAGGACAAAACAGAACAGGGGGAGTGGACAGAGGCACAGAAATTCCCACGGAGAAAGACAAATTTAAACATGCAAACATACACAGAGAAGGGCTTAAAAGAGCATCTCATGCTGGGAGGCTTGGGGAGTCACTGGTTTGGGGTGTGAAGGATCTTTGTTCAGATCTGTGGAGGTGTTTGAGTGTGACCCTATCCTCCATGCCTCTTTCCCCGAAATCCATGCAGGGGCCCAGTTACTGGGCAGAAAAGGGTTTGGGGCTGACTTGTGCAACAGGCCTGGAGTTTGCCCTCCTCCATGCTGCACTCTGAAACTCTTTTTCCAGGAATTGGGTGGAGAGGGCTTGTGACTCCCTTTCCTGGCCCCAAGAGTGGAAGGGAACCCATGGGCCTCAGGTTCTGGCCCTTGCCTTCTTCTGTCCATGATTTGTTTCTTGGTCTGTTTCTCATCCCACACTACCCAACTCTTCTTTTTTAAAAAAATATTTTTATTAACTTCAGAGAGGAAGGGAGGAGAGCTGCCTCCTGCCACACAGTGGAGATTGAGCCCGCAACCTGGGCATGTGCGGGTTGTGATCCGTGTCCTGAAGGGGAAATGAACCATGTCCTCCTGGCTCATAGGACGCTGGGCTGCCCAACTCTTCTTTTTAAAAAAAAAAAAAATATTTTTTTTTATTGACTTCAGAGAGGAAGAGAGAAACATCAATGAGAGAGAACTCTTCTTTTTAATATATTTTTATTGATTTCAGAGAGGAAGGGAGAGGGAGAGAGAAATAGAAACATCAATGATGAGAATCACTGACTGGCTGCGTCCTGCATGCCCCCTACTGGGCATCCCGGGCATATGCCCTGGACCAGAATTGAACCGGGACCCTTCAGTCCGCAGGCCTCTGCTCTATCCACTGAGCCAAACCGGTTAGGGCGACCCGACTCTTCTTAAAGACTGCTTTCTCCATTTACCTTTTAAAAAAATTATTGATTGCTTTTACAGACAGAGAGGAAGGTTAGGGAGAGAGAAACATCGATCTGTTCCACCTATGCATGCACTCATTGGTGGTTTCTTGTATGTGCCCTGACCCGGGAGGGAACCCCCAACCTCCGAGTATCAGGGACACTCCAACCAACTGAACGGCCAGGACGTTCTCCGCTTTCTGCCCGGCTCCCCCTGGCTTCTCTCTCTCACACTGGGCTCTCCCGGTCTCCTTGGCTCCGCTCATTCATTCCTTCTCCCTTCTCCCCTCCTATCTCTCCTTCCTTTCCCCTCCCTCTTCCTGCCCCCTTTCCTCTCTCTCCTCCGCTCCCGCATTTTCCTTCGGCAGCCGCCGGAGGCTCGGGCACCATGCTCCGGCTCCTCCACTTGCTGCTGCTCCTGCTCCTGCTGCCTCCCCCGGGGTCCCCCGAGCCCCCGGGCCTGGCCACGCTGTCCCCCGGGGCGCCGCCCCAGGCTCCCGACTTGCTCTACGCAGACGGGCTGCGCGCCTACGCGGCGGGGGCCTGGGCGCCGGCTGTGGCGCTCCTGCGGGAGGCGCTGCGGAGCCTCGAGGAGCTGGGCCGCGCGCGGCGGGACTGCGGGGCGCGCTGTGCGGCCGAGGCGGCGCTCCCCGACGCCCCGGGCCCGGACTTCCCGCCCGGCCCGGCTGCCGGGGCCTGGGAGCGGCTGCTGCTCCGCGCCGCGCTGCGCCGCGCCGAGTGCCTGAGCCAGTGCGCGGCGCGGAGGCTGGGGCCGGGGGGCGCGGCGCGGCTCCGCGTGGGGGGCGCCCTGCGCGACGCCTTCCGCCGCCGGGAGCCCTACAACTACCTGCAGAGGGCCTACTACCAGGTGCGCCGCGGGGGGCGGGGGGCAGCCAGACCCACCCCACGGCGCCGTCCTGCCCGCGCGCACCGGGAGGTGGCGCGCTTCGAGCGCGGGGCTCGGGTGGGGCGGCGGGGGGCGGTCTAAGGGACCTCGATATCCGGGTGGTCCTTCCCCATCACACGCTGCACCCGCTCAGAGGCAGCCTAAGGGGGAGGGGGAGCACAGTCGGCGCGGGACGGGGTCGCGGAGCGGGTGGGAGGAGATGGAAGACGGAGGGAGGGGCCTGGAATCCCAGTGGGTCTGTGACCTCCGTGGGGTGAGCGCTGCTCCTTCCCGGGAGGCGGCGGAGAGGCTGGGAGGAGCGGGAGGGCGAGCCTTCCCCGGAGGCAGGAGGGAGCTTGGAGCTGGAGGCAGCTTCGGGAAGGTCAGAGGAGAGGGGCCGGGCTGGGGCCGTGAGGACGGACGTCTGGGGGTGCGGAGAGTGTGTGTGTGGGGGTGGGGGGGTGAGGGGCGTGGACACTGCGCAGCTCCTGGGACCTAGTCTGTAGTCTACGTGGCTCGGGGGAGAGGGGGCTGGCCGCATACTCACCTCAGGGTCCTAGAGCCCTGCGGGTTCTGCTGGTCCGTCGGGTCTCCGCCCCTCCCCACTGCAGCAGCCATCACTTCCACCTGGTCTCTCCACTGAGCCCTTCTGCCCATGGCTCACCGGCTCCGAAGTGTTCGGTGCCCTTTCCTTGGCCGCCGGGTCCTGAGAGGCCCAACATACCGGTGCCCCCGGGGCCTGGCGCCTGGGGGCGGGCAGTTCTCACTGACCATCTTCCAGAAGGCTGGGGGGGGGGGGCGGGCAGCCCCAGGGGGTGTCTGGGATGGGGGGCTGTTGAGAGGCAGAGGTCTGACACCCGCTCTTCGGGGCTCTGACTCCCTCTTCCTCCCCGATTCAGCTGAAGAAGCTGGACCTGGCAGCCGCCGCGGCTCACACCTTCTTTGTAGCAAACCCCACGCACCTGCAGATGCGGGAGGACATGGCTAAGTACCGACGGATGTCTGGGGTTCGGCCGCAGAGCTTCCGGGACCTGGAGACGCCCCCACACTGGGTGAGACCCCCAGCAGGACCCCGGTCCCTCCCCCAGCCCTTGACTAACAGGACACACCCGTCTCCCTGGACGGTGTCCCTGCGTGTCTTGGGCATCAGGAGATCTGAGTGCCCTTCTCAGTGCCGGGGATGGGGAGTCCGGATCTGGGGCTTGGTTTATTCCCGAGGATCACCAAGGTCCCATGTTCTGACGCTCCAGTCCTGGGGCCAAGGCAGAGTGGGACCTGGAGGCCATGCCCCTTCTTCCTACCTCCCAATCTCATTAGGCACCCCCTCCCCCAGGGTCTCAGGTGACTGAGCACTCCCCTCTCCACAGGCAGCCTATGACTCAGGCCTGGAGCTCCTGGGGCGCCAGGAGGCAGGACTGGCACTGCCCAGGCTCGAGGAGGCCCTGCAGGAGAGCCTGGCTCAGGTGGAGAGCTGCCGCGCTGGCTGCGAGGGGCCTGAGGAGCATCAAAGAGAGGAAGAGGAGGAAGGACCTGGGAGCCAGGGGGGTCTCTATGAGGCTATCGCCGGTAAGGAGCTGGGAGGATGGCGGGTTCACGGTGCCGGGAGGAGAAGCATGACAAGCTGAATCGCGTGTGCGTGTCCTCCGCAGGGCACTGGATTCGGGTCCTGCAGTGCCGGCAGCGCTGTGTGGAGGAAACAGCCACGCGCCCTGGTCGAAGCTTCCCTGTCCCCGACTTCCTGCCCGGCCAGCTGAGGCGGCTGCATGAGGCCCATGCTCAGGGTCCGTTGGGGAGGGGAGCCCCGGGGTGATGGGTTGGAAACAGGTCAAGGGAAGGCTTGTCTTCGATGGTATCCTGAGTCTCTGCATCCCTCCCATCTGTCTCCGGCTCTGTAGTTGGGCAGGGCTCTGTGGGGACCGTCACTTCTGGAGGACTCTACCTGGCTTTCCTTTGGCGCCACGGTGGAAAGCTCAGGAGATGGGTCCCAGGGCTCCTCCTGCCCTTGCTGCTTCTCACCTTCCTTTATTCTCTCCTCTCTTCCTCCCCTTGCATTCTGCCCCTTCAGCTCAGGTAGGTTTGAGTTAAGCTTTGACAAGAAGCAGTGGAGGAGCATGTCTGTGGGGACAGGGGGGTGGGGGTGGGGTGGGGGGCTCGCGTTGGATGGCATTGGATCACCTTTTTGTCCACCTGTCATCGCTGCCTCTGCCCAGGGTCAGGGCCATCCTCAGTCTGTGTGCCCACCCCACCCTGTTGCTCTGTCTCCAGTGGGGAATCTGTCCCAGGCTATGGAAAATGCCCTGAGTGTCCTGCTCTTTTATCCGGAGGATGAGGCCGCCAAGGACGCTCTGAACCAGTACCAGACCCAGCTGGGAGAGCAGAGACCTGGCCTGGGGCCAAGAGAGGTACCTCCCCGACCCCCACCCTGACCCTGTGAGGCCCTCAATCAAACATACCTGAGCAGTTACCTGGACTCTGCCCGCTTCTCCCATTCTGGCCCAAGCACTCTAGTCACCAGAGGCAACCCCAAATCCAGCCCTGCCCTGCTCCCCACTCAGATTCCAAGTCCAAGTGCCAGCCCATCTCTTCCCTTAACCTCACCCCTGCCTGCCCCCACCCTATACGCAGACTTCTCCCCCAGTTTGAATCCAGATGTCCTGAAGTGGCTGAGGGAGGAAAGCTGAGCGAGAGGCATGGTGAAGTGTTTATGGAGCAGGCAGGCTGTCCCCTGGAACCGGGGCTGCCCTGCCTTCACTTCCCTGCTCCACTTAACTTCTCCTTGTCCCCCCCGCCCCCCGCCCCTGCTCCCTGTGTCCACCTGCCTCAGGACATCCAGCGCTTTGTCCTTCGGTCCCTGGGCGAGAAGAGGCAGCTCTACTATGCCATGGAGCACCTGGGGACCAGCTTCAAGGATCCTGTGAGTAACTCCACTTCTCTCCATCCCACTTCCATGTGTAAAGCTCTTAGAATAGCACCTGACAAAGTACTACATAAGTTGATTTTGTTATTGCAGAGTTTGGTCCAGCACCCAGGGCTTTCCCCATCCCCCCCCCCCCCCCCCCCCCCCCCCCCGGAAGCAGAGCCTAATGTGGTAGTTCGGAGTCTAGTATCAGGGATCGGGGCTGGGTTTGGTGGGTGATGGTGCTTTTCTTGACTGTTCCAGGATCCCTGGACTCCAGCAGCTTTCATCCCCGAGACACTGAGAGAAAAGCTCAGGTAGGAGATGCTGGTGGTAGGAGGGGCCTGCCCTGAGCTGGAAGGTGTCAGGAGGGGTCCTGTGAGGCTGGGTCTGGGTAAAATGGATCTGGACTGGTCTGTGCATCCACTGAGCATGTCTCTCACCCCTGAGAGAGGATCAAGAGCAGCGACCTTGGGACCATGAGCCTCCACAGCCGAAGCCCTTGACTGACTGGAAGGGTAAGTTCCTGGGAGAGCAGGAGGCAGAGTCCTGGAGGGTCTGGGGGCTGCCAGCTGGGGCTACTGCTGGGCCGGCTTTCAGGGGACCCTCAATCCCCTCTTCTTATCCCTTCGCCTGCAGATGTCCTCCTCCTGGAGGGGGTAACCCTGACCCAGGATGCAAGGCAGCTGAATGGGTCGGAGCGAGCGGTGCTGGACGGCCTGCTCACCCCAGCTGAGTGTGGGGTGCTGCTGCAGCTGGCCAAGGTAAGAAGACCTATGAGAGAAAACCAGGCCAGTGTGGCTCAGTGGTGGCTCAGGAGGTCACGGTTCAATTCCCGGTCAGGGCACATGCCCGGGTTGTGGGCTCAGTCCCTAGTGTGGGGTGTGCAGGAGGCAGCCGTTCAATGATTCTCATTGATGTTTCTATCTCTCTCTCCTCCATTCCTTTTTGAAATCAATAAAAATATATTTAAAAAAAAGAAGACCCAGGGGAGGATGGCTAGTGAGGGACCCCAGGCAGAGCTGCCTGCCCCCAGTTCTAACTTCTCTGGGTCTCCAGTGGGGACTGGGCTTGCCACTGCCTCACTGCTGTGGACAAGTTCCTTTTCCTCTCAACTTAGAGGGCTTGGCGTGGACATTCTTTTCTTTTTTCCCTTACATTCTTCACAAATGGATTTTGCTAGAAGTTAATAGGAGAACAAAAGAAAATAAAGAATATAAAGGCATAGAAAATTGTGAATATATGGGTGAGGATTCCTCGGAGTTTCATTACTGGCTTGGCTGATGGCTCAGTGGACACACCGGCTTATTCTCCCATCCATTGAATTCCCTCCTAGTTTGGGTTGAATGATCTGTATTCACCAGGTTGAGTCTGCCCTTTTATGAAGCATCAGTCCTCATTCTAGGCTAGTGTTCCTTCAACACACACACTTCGAGCACCTGCTGTGTACTCGAAGCTTCTAGGTTCCAGGGAGAGCTAGGTGGACACAGACTCTGCGTCCTGGAGCTCACTGTAGAGAGAAGGAATTCGATGTAGAGACACACCTAGAGTGGTGGTAAGTTTGATCAAAGAAGTACGTACTCCTTTAAATAGAAGCACCAAAATGCAAGGTCATGGAAAGCTTGGGGTGGAGGGCGGCATTTGAACTCAGTCTAAGGACGAGACTGAGAAAAGGAGGAGAGTTGGGCTTCGAGGGAGAAGGCTACGGTATTCTGGGAATTGCGGTGGAGTATAGGGGCTGAGCACATAGGGCAGGCCCCACAATGACTGCCTGTGTGACGTTGGGCAATGTAGTTCAGCATCTCTGAGCCTAGCTTCCTCATCTATAAAGTGGGGCTAAATACAGTGGTTTTGTCACAGAGTTGTTGTGACCATTAAATGAGTTAGTACATGGTCAAGATCTCAGAAGATAGTGCTCAGTATTAGTAGCTGTCACTATTATCACCAGGCTGTATGTTATTCAGAGGTGTTCTAGGGGAGAGACCCAGAGCTGGAATTAGAGGAGAGCGGCGAAGGGCCTTCTGTACCCTACCAAGGATGGTAGGACAGCTTATTCAAGTATTTAAGGAGGGATGACTTTCTTGTTCCTGTAGAACCTCCCAGTGCAGGGTCCGGAGTCACCACCATCCCAGAGGACTGGTAGATCCCTCTAGGGCCGTGTGGAGAAATGCAACAGGAGAGGACAGTAAGGGGGAGGCCCTGGGTGATGCCAGGATCAGACCTTTCTGTTGCTCAATCACACTAAACTCACTCTGGCCTCAGGCCCTTCGCACTTGCTATTTCTGCTGCCTGGAACACTTTTCTCTCAGTTATTCAAGTGGCTCCTTCATATCATTTGGTTTCAATTCAGATGTCACCTCATCAATTAGCTGTCTCCCAATCCGTGCCTGCGCACTCTCAAAGTTGTAGCTCTATTTTTATTTTCTTCATAACATTTATCTGAATTATCCCGGTTTGTTTGTTATCTGAAAATACAAGCCCCATGAGAGCAGGGGCCTTTCCACGTTCATGATTGTGTCCCCAGTGCCTAGAACAGTGCCTGGCACATAGTAGATGCTCAGTACAAATTTGTGGAATGAGTAAGTGAATGAATGAATGAATGAATACAAGAATAGAAGGTTAGATGGCTTATTGGGTGATAAGGTGGTTTTTCGGAGGTGAGGTTTATATATTGAATAATTAGCTAGTGGTATTTTAACTGAGTTTCACAAAGCAGACAGGAGACTAGGTGTCGGGAAAGGACAGCCAAACACCAGGAGACCCCCCCCCATGGTGTGGGAGTTCACATCAAGGGTTCGCACGTTCTTCAAGAGCGATATCTCACCTGTACCTGGCCGGACTATCGAGCTTCCTGCCGGAAGCTTCTATTTCCAGAAGGACTCCTCTATCTTGGCTTATCAGGGAATGATCAAACCCTTCCTGCACCCCTTTCTCAGCTGTCCTTGCCCTCTCTGAGGCCCTTCTGTGCACAGGCCCTCAGCCAGTGGGATGCCAGATCTTTACCAGGGAGCAACGGCACTGCTGAAAAGATAGTCAATCTCTGGGGAAGGGCAGCAGCTCTGGAAAAGGAGCCACCAGAGATCTCTGGGAGCTTCCAGCCTCTTCCGGGGGGGTGGAGGGGGGCGGGCGTTGGAGAGAAGGTCTTATAGTCCGTGGGCAGTGAGGTGGGCAAAAATCCGGGGCTGGACAGTGACTCCACAGTCAACCCCCTATTTAGGATGCAGCTGAGGCTGGAGCCAGGTCTGGCTATCGGGGCCGCCGATCCCCTCACACCGCCCATGAACACTTCGAGGGGCTCACGGTGCTGAAGGCTGCACAGGTGAGCCGAGAGGTACCCATGCCCTCGTCCGATGCTCAGGTCTGGAAAAGGGCATACAGGAGGCTGGCGCCAGGGCTGGGCTTCTCCAGTGGAGGGGCTCTCAGGACCGAGAGACCCTGAGTTCTCTGCCCAGGATCGAGGAGGGGTTGTCATGGAGCCACTGGAAGGAGCAGCTGGGGCTGATGGACAGAGCTGGCCGCTGAGAGACTCCACACTCACCCTTCCATTGCCTCCCTCCTTTCTCATCCTTCCTCCCGCTGCCCACAGCTGGCCCGTGCTGGGGCTGTGAGCACTCGGGGTGCTAAGCTGCTCCTGGAAGTGAGCGAGCGTGTGCGGACCTTAACTCAGGCCTACTTCTCCCCGGAACGGCCCCTGCATCTCTCCTTCACTCACCTGGTGTGCCGTACTGCCATCAAAGGTAACTGCCATACCCCACTGTTCCTTCCCGGCCTCCGGGCCCTGTGGGGGCTGCATAGCCTCAGCACCCCCTAACTGTGTGGGTTCATCTTCACTCCTAAAAGACGGACTCCCCTGCCCACGTCTGGGCCTGGCCTCTCTGCTCAGCTGTGACCCCCAAGCTTCAGGGTGGGAGTGGATCGAGGTGCATGGGCACAGGGCACAGAGGCACTCACCAGGCCCCTTTGCTTCCCAGGGGAGCAAGAGCAACGCATGGACCTGAGTCACCCCGTGCATGCCGACAACTGCGTTCTGGACCCTGACACGGGAGAGTGCTGGCGGGAGCCCCCAGCCTACACTTATCGAGACTACAGGTGGGCAGCCCCTCCTGGGATCCGGCAGGTGCGCCTGGGGTGGGCTCTCACAGCCTCCTGTCTTCCTCCTCCAGTGGACTCCTCTACCTCAACGATGACTTCCAGGGTGGGGACCTGTTCTTCACAGAGCCCAACGCCCTCACTGTCAGGGTAAGGGGGGGCAGGGGGAGGGCGGTGGTTTGGAACAGGGAGCACAGCTGTGGGCTCAGGATTCAAAACAGAAGGATCCCAGAAGCAAATGCAGGGAAATGGCTGGGGCCACCCGAACCCTTCCTCTCCTGGCCCCCCAGCTCTTTCCACCACTGTCTGTTCAGGAGCTGTCCTAGCAGAGCTCCTCACAGAGGTTGGTTATTGCGCCCCCGTCCTCCCCAGGAGGTCACAGTGACCCCTGCAGACTTGCCGTCCGTGTTTGCCTCACCTCCTAAAGAAGGGTGGGTGAGCGCAGGACCCCAAGTCCCTATTCCAGGTAGAAACTAGGGGCTAGAAGTAGGTAGAAGGAGAGGAACAGTGATTTCTCTCACCTGTTGCTTTGTCTTCCTTCCCTGGTTACCACCACCAGCACCTACAATCCACGCCCTCCGTGGGGTAGAAGGGTATTCCCAAGATCCTTATGCCTGGTCCTCCTCATGTCGCAGATTTCTTCACACCCAGTTCAAAGGATTGGACAAGAGTGTCAGGGCCAGAGGGAGGGGACCAACAGGAGGCACTGGATGGAGGCCCCTTCTCCCTTTGGCTGCAACTCCGTTAGCCTGTCTGGCCTTTGTGCTCCCCAAGGGGAGGCCAGTTTCCCATTGGCCGCAGGACGGTCCCTGAATTAAGGGGTGGGCGATGGGCAAGAGAGCTGATCTTTCCATGCCCATGCCCTGTCCTAACCTAGGAGTCAGGGCCACGTGCTCTGAGGGCCTGTCCCTGGAGCTGAACCTGCCCTCATCCCCCAGGCGCAGGTCCGTCCTCGCTGCGGACGCCTTGTGGCCTTCAGCTCTGGCGGGGAGAACCCCCACGGTGTGTGGGCCGTGACTCGGGGCCGGCGCTGCGCCCTGGCCCTGTGGCACACGTGGGCACCTGAGCACAGGGAGCAGGTGTGTGAAGCGTGGGCTGGTTGCTGGGTGAGGGGCAGGGGCTGACAGGACCCGGGGAGGGTCCTTGGGGAGGGTGGATGCAGGGATTGGGCCCGACTCTCCTCCTACCTCTCAGGAGTGGACAGAAGCCAAGGAGCTGCTTCAGGAGCCGGAGCAGGATGGGGAGGAGGAGGGTGACGAGGAGGAGGAAGAAATGCCCCGCAGAGACCCTTCTCCAGAACCCCCTGGCCGCAGGCCTCAGCGGGTCCAGGACAAGACCGGGAAGCCGCCTCGGGTCCGAGAGGAGCTGTGAGGGGCTGAGCTAGCTCCTCGGGGATGCGGCCACCTGACTCTGGAAGGGCTGCCTCAGTCCCAGGACCCACACGAAGGCCCCTGTGACAGGAGCAGCACAGCGAGTTCTCTGTCCCTGCACCCCCACTGTTTTGGGGATCACAAGGGCCATCCAGCCCTGGGCTCAGAGAACACTGCACACACCAGCCTAGAACTCGTCCGGTCTGAGGAGTCAGGCCTGGCCCCAGCTGATGGACCTGCAGCCCTAGGGCAGACCGAGGGCATGATGCCTCCCTGGGAAGAAGTGGCCGGGGCAGGGCCTGACTGCTTCAGATGAGGAGGATGAGAGGGGAGAGTAAGCCCCGCCCGCTCCCAGCCTGTCAATAAAGAACGTGAAGACCCTCAGCCAGGGCCCATGGTTCCTATCAGTTTCTGTGGTGGCTGGAGGTGGGAGCGGCCATGGCTGGCCTGGGAGGAGACAGGTGTCTCCTGGAGGCGGGGCCACTCAGGCCTGTGATTTGTCAGGGAAATCTCAGCCACCTGCTGCCCTCACGCAAATACACCCAAACCCTGGACAGCTGCTCCGTGGGCCTCCAGCTCTAAGACCTGTCTTCCCTCCGAGCTGGGCCGAGACTTAGGGCAGCTTGATCCCTGAGACTCCTGCATTCCCAGCCCAGCAGGACCTCGTGAGTCATGGGGGCAAGGAGTGGGCCCGACCGGGACGGGAGCAGGGGATGGGGCTGCCCTCCACTTGCAATCCTTGATGCACCCAGAGCAGGGCCAGGCCTGTCCACCCCTCTCTCTGAATCCCCTGGACCCTCCCCCTGCCCCCACCCCCCAGAATCACATCCTGGGGCAGCTGGTTGGGGTTTGTCTGGAAGGATTATCCAGATCAGTCCCTTCTAAGCTCAGCTCTGGCCTGCGCCCTCCCCACGTCACCAGAACCCTCTTCCCCACTACCTGAGCTAAGAAACACAGTTTTGGGTATTGACAAGGGGCCATCTCTGACCCTTGTATTCTGCTCTGGGGCTGGGTGCCAGGTAGGTCCTGACAGCCAGGATCATCACCATTGGTGGGGCCAGGCCTGGGGTGGGGGGGGGGGCTGCTGGAGCTGTGGTGGCTGCTGTTCCTTTGCACCCTCCCAAACGTCAACCTTTAATCCTCACAGCTTTGCTCTAATCCCATGGGGCCTAATGCTCTTCTCTCTGCCTGCAGAGAGACCCATCAGGGAAGCATCTCCTCCCCATTCCTCCCCCCAGAGCTGGTTGTGGGGGGCTGCTGCTCTATAGCCCTCACTCCTGCTCCCCCCTCCTCCCAGGCTGGGCCCAAGTCTCTGGAAGCCACACACTTCCTCCTGTCCTCCTCCCACCCTGCCAGCTGACTTAATTTGCCTGACGTCTTGTTGGCCCTTCCCTGTCGGTGCCCACACCCCCCTCCCCAGAGTGGGGCCAGGCCAGGCCAGCTCTTCTGGCAGCAGAGCCGGGGCAGGTGACGGGCTGGCGTTGCAGTTGAGGGAGCGACGAGGCGCCTGGGAACCGGAGCTGGAAACCTGGGAGAGGTCCAGTCAGAGCCCAAGTAAGGGGGAGCCGGCCTGGCTCTGCCTCTGGGCCTGGGGCTGCAGGGAAGGCAGGCAGAGCTGGGCTGGCTGCACAGGACTCCGAACACGGAGGGGCTCCGGGGGGAGGTGGTGTGGGCCACCTGTCAGTTCCCTATTCCTTGGAGTGGGCTCCAGCCCTCCTGAGAAGTCTGGTGTGGGGAGCGAGGTAGAGGGATCCCCTATACTTACCGCCCATTCCTGGCAGGAGCCAGCGCTACCTCTCGACCTGTCAGCCATGGGGGAGATGGAGCAGCTGCGGCAGGAAGCGGAACAGCTCAAGAAGCAGATTGCAGTAACAACAGCACATTCCCACTGGGGACCCCAGAAAACGTGGAAATGGGGACATGAGGGAGTGTGGCCGGGGGGGAAGGAGGCTGGACTCACTCCTGAGTGACACCTTAGTGACCCCTGACCTGGAAGTCACCAGAGACTTTCTGGGTTTCATATTTGACATGTCCCCCAACTGTAGACCCCCAAGCCTACCTGCCTCAGAGGCCCATGCACCCCGCTTCCACCTCCCCCTGCCTAATGTCTGCTTTCCCCCCAGGATGCCAGGAAGGCCTGTGCTGACACCACTCTGGCAGAGGTGAGACTCCTGTCCCTGTGAGCAGGGCCTGAGGGGAGGAGAGGGGATGGGAGCTCCCTGACCAGCCCAAGCTTTAGTACAAGTCCCTGGCGTGAGGAATAACACTAATTAGTTCAGTCAACAAACATTTAGTGAGGCCTGCTTTGGGCCTGGGGTCGAATTGGAAGCTAAGGACAAGATGCTGCCCTACTGTCATCCAGAAAACAAAGGTGCTTACACTGCAGGGTGGTGAGGATGAAGGGAGGAACAGCACCTCGCAAGTCACACGCCCTTACAGACTGCAGTTACTAGTGGTCTGATACTGTACTTCGTCAATTCTAAGACGCACAGTTTTCTATATTTTGACATTTTTGAAATCAAGATGCATCCAACACTAGATGATGCCTTACAATTAAAATTGGCAGCGTTTTTTCTTTCTTAATGATACATGAAAGGAAGGTGCTTGCTAGAATTATTTGCATCTTAGAGAGGATTAGATATCTTTGTAAGTATTTACTGAACACTTACCCTGAGCCAGACACTGGACTAAGCTGCTTCAGTGCCTAATTTCATTTTCCTGACAACCCCACAAGGCAGGTGCTATAAACAGTTTATAGATGAGGAAACCGGCTGGGAGAGGTCAAGTCACTTGATCAAGATAATAAAGCAGGTAAATGGCGAGTCAAGTCTATTGGCCCTAGAGCCTCAGACTAAGTCTAGAAAGCTGGATAGACTTAAGGGGGGTAGGACGACACATTTCAGGAGCTGCAGTTCAAGGTCATGGTGATACCTGGATACCCAGGTAAAGAGTTGGCTATGCTACTGCAGGCAGGCTCCTGGCGGTTTGGAAATGTGTACATATCTTCCTAAGTACGTGTTCGGTGACTTCACGTTTTGAAATTGGTCAAGGCGGGAGAATTACAGGATCGCAATCACCCTCCCTCCTCCCGGCCCTCCCCACCCTGCACTGGAGAGCGGTTTGTTAAACACTAATTGTCTCTCAGCAGCCTAAGCCACTGCAGGGTGGGGACTGATTTCTCTAAGGCTGGGCGCCAGACCCAGAGCCTGGCACAGAGCAGAAACCTGTACAGATCGGTGGCTGTGACACTGACATCTGGTCACGTTCCCTGCTCACCCTGATTTCTTACGCTCCCTTTTCTGCAGCTTGCGTCTGGCCTAGAAGTCGTGGGACGAGTCCAGATGCGGACGAGACGGACGCTCAGGGGACACCTGGCCAAGATTTACGCCATGCACTGGGCCACGGACTCCAAGTGAGACTTGAGAGGTGCCAGAGGGGAGGGGAGGCAGGAAGGACAGGCTTGGGTGACGCGGAGTGCCCTCTCCCCAGGTTGCTAGTAAGTGCCTCGCAAGATGGGAAGCTGATCGTGTGGGACACCTACACCACCAATAAGGTACCAGCCCTGCCTCCCGCCCTCCGTCACTCCGTCCTTTCTTGGGGACACATTGCCTACCCTCCTCTGCTCTCTCCACCTGGGAGCTCAGCCCAGGCCCTGCCCCTGCTCCCCTTGCCCTCCTGCAGGTACACGCCATCCCTCTGCGCTCCTCCTGGGTCATGACCTGTGCCTACGCCCCCTCAGGGAACTTTGTGGCATGTGGGGGGCTGGACAACATGTGTTCCATCTACAGCCTCAAATCCCGTGAGGGCAATGTCAAGGTCAGCCGGGAGCTCTCCGGTCACACAGGTGAGAGGCCCTCTCTTCCGTCCCACCCTGAGGGATCCAGGGGAGTCGCCGGCTGGCTGGCGGGTCGTGGCTCTGCAGCCAGGGCACTGTCCTCACCTTCCCCAGGTTATCTCTCCTGCTGCCGCTTTCTGGACGACAACAACATTGTGACCAGCTCAGGGGACACCACGTGGTGAGGCCTGACACTGGGTGCTGGGCTGGGAGTCAGCCCCGGCCTGGCCTTTCTCGCTGACAGCCTCCCCTCCTCCCTGCAGTACTCTGTGGGATATTGAGACCGGGCAGCAGAAGACTGTGTTTGTGGGACACACAGGGGACTGCATGAGCCTGGCTGTGTCTCCCGACTTCAAACTCTTCATTTCGGGGGCCTGCGATGCCAGCGCCAAGCTCTGGGACGTGCGGGAGGGGACTTGCCGGCAGACGTTCACTGGCCATGAGTCGGACATCAACGCTATCTGTGTGAGCCCCCTCTGTGCCCCAATTCCTGGGACCACCTCACCATCCCAACACGCATCCTTCACCCCCTGCCAGAGCTCCCCACCCCCGTGTTTTTAACTTTCCACTTTAACATAAGCTCACCTTACAGAGAAGTTGTAACAAGAAGAGCTCCCACCTAGCCTCCACCCACATTCGCTGTTAACAGTTTACCGCATTTGTTTTGTCCTTCTCTGTAGAGGACGGGATGGAGGAATGGATGGATAAATGATTGACAGCTAGCTAGACACACACATACATCCCAATGGAGATATACATTTTGTGTTTTTTGTTGTTGTTAAGGATATTTTTCCATTGATCTTTCTAGAGAGAGTGGGAGAGGGAAAGACAGAGAGAAATATCTATGTGAGAGAAACACATTGATTGGTTGCCTCCTGCACGAGCCCTGACCAGGGCCCGGTCCAGGGAGGAGCCTACAACTAAGGTACGTGCCCTTGACTGGAATCAAACCCGGGACCCTTGGTCTGCAGGCTGACGCTCTACCCACTGAGCCAAACTGGCTAGGGCTTTTCCTGGATTTTTTTTAGAGTTGCAGACATCATACCTCTTTACCCCTTAAATCAGGGGTCCTCAAACTTTTTAAACAGGGGGCCAGTTCACTGTCCCTCAGACCGTTGGAGGGCCGGACTATAGTTTAAAAAAAAAACTATGAACAAATTCCTATGCACACTGCACATATCTTATTTTGAAGTAAAAAACAAAATGGGAACAAATACAATATTTGTATTTGCATGTGGCCCGCGGGCCGTAGTTTGAGGACCCCTGCCTTAAATACTTCAGTGTGTATTTCCTAAACACAAGGCCATTCTCTTACACAGCCCCAGTATAGTTCTTAAAATCAGGAAATTTAACATTAATGTCGACACAGTAATATAGTCCACAGTCTATACTCGCATCTCACCGAGTGTCTCAACAATACCCCTAACGGCAGTGGGGTTTTCCTGCCAGGAACACATGTTGCATTTTCTTGCCACATCTTAGTTTCCTTTAAACTGGAACTGTTTTCCTACCTTTGTCTTGTGTGACATTGACATTTTAAAAGAGTACAGCACAAACCAGTTTTCTGTAGACTTCCCCTCTGTGTGGGCTGACCTGACATTTCCTCATGATGAGATTCGGGTTATGCATTTGTACTTGGCCCTGCGCCTACACTCTGATCCACTGAGTGTGGCGGGAAGGGGCAGAGACAACCTCCCGCTTCTAGCCCCGGGAGCCTGGGCAGGCTGCAGGCGCTCGCTCAGCCTCACGGGAATAATGCCCGTCTGTCATGAGGAGCCAGGGAAGGGTGTCGGGGAGCCACCAGCGCATGAAGAGCGATGCCGTGGCCTTTCTCACCGAAGGCCAGGGGAGGGGCAGCCAGGGCGGCTGAGCCACCAGGGCAGGAGCCAGGGAGAAGGCAGGAGAGGCAGCGGTGCCCAGGTCTGAGTCCTGACCCCCTGGCCCCCTGTGTGCCCTCAGTTCTTCCCCAGTGGAGAGGCCATCTGCACAGGCTCAGACGACGCCTCCTGCCGCCTGTTTGACCTGCGGGCAGACCAGGAGCTGACGGTCTACTCCCACGAGAGCATCATCTGTGGCATCACGTCCGTGGCCTTCTCCCTCAGTGGCCGCCTGCTCTTCGCAGGCTATGACGACTTCAACTGCAATGTCTGGGACTCCATGAAGGGCGAGCGTGTGGGTAAGGGTCCCCCTACTGCCACGTCAGCCCGAAGTGCCCTCCCGCCAGCTCCCCTTGTGGGAACTTACTACTGCTCCCTGGTCATGAGGTAACTCTGGGCTCTGCCCCTGCAACCGTGTCCCTTTGGTTCCCAGTGTGGGGTCGTCTTCTCTGGAAGAAGAGTTGCTCCCAGGGCCTTCCCTACCGCCCAGGGCCCGAGCCGCTCCCTCCAACGCAGCTCCTCCAGGCGGTGCCCAGGCCTGAGGACCTGAGTGTCCCGCCAGGTCTGGGATTCAGGAGCGGCTTCATTGCAGGGAAAGGGCGGCCTCGGGGAACCATGCGATGAGCGGATCAAGGTCCAGAGTGATCTGAGGGCCCTGACCCCCAGCGAGGGGCTCGTGGGACCAGCCTGGTCTGCAGTTGAGTCAGTGTGGCTTCTTCTCTTGGGAGAGGCCAGGTGCTCAATGAAAATAACACTGGCCACAAAGTCAGGGTCCGAACCCTAATTCTGTGGCTTATTTTCCAAGTGCCCTTGGGCATGTCCCTTCTCTCTGGGCCTCAGTCTCTTGGTTTGGAAACAAAGAAACAACACAAAAGGGTTCCTTCCCACGTTTTCCAGTGCCCATCAGATGCCCCTTTCTTTTCTCATAGCACATGGACACTGCCTGCCGACCCTTTGCCATCCCTCTCCGCCCCTCCCCTGCCCTAAGTTCTTGGCAGAGATTGGCCTCAAGAGAAGCCGCACTGCCTAGGGCTAATCCTCTTTGGGTCTTCCCGTCTCCACCAGGGGGCTGGAGTCGGAGTCCAGCCTACCTAACCTGGGGTTCCTGTCTGTGCCTGCACACACACTCCCTGCCACATCAGCATGTGTAGACCCGCTAACTCCTCTCCCCTTTCCTCAGGCGTCCTCTCCGGCCATGACAACAGGGTCAGCTGCCTGGGGGTCACAGCTGATGGGATGGCAGTGGCCACTGGCTCCTGGGACAGCTTCCTCAAAATCTGGAACTGAGAAGGCTGGAGGAGGGGAGGTAAAAGGCCATGAAGACACTCAGCTGCCCCTTCCCCTGCCCAATTTCTTTACTGTTCCTTAAAGGCTTTCTCTTCTACACCCCAGCTGCCACTCCCACAAGCTTTCTCCTTTGAGGCCCATGGGGAACACAGGGCGTGCCTCTGGGAGACAGCATCAGGGCTGGGCAGAGAACCGCCCATCTCCTCCCATGGCCTCCCCTCTCTGTGGTCCTGACAGTTTCTCCCTTAATGAGTAAGGACAACGGACCCCTCCCCAGCCCTTGGCAGCCCAGCAGGTTTCAGTATAGGCTCCAGGCCCTAGGATTCCTCCTCCAGAGCTACCACCTTTGTCCAGGGTAAAGACCTGGGTGGCCAGGGTGCTCGGCCCCGTGACTATGGCTCTGGCACCACCAAGGTCCTGGCTCCCTTCTCCTTCATGCTTTCCCCCTTTTCTACCTTTCCCCCCCCTCTCCAAAGTACCTGCAATAAAGTATAGCACCTGGTATATCTGTGATGTTTGGCTTTCACCCTATTTCTGTTCCAAAAAGATTCAGTTCCCACTTAAGTAATGAAGTGTTAGAGGTACAAGTGAGAAAGATTGGGTACCAGACAGCTTGTGGGCAGAAAGTAGGGTAGAGGCAGAAGCCCCAAGTTCGTGGGGAAGGCCGGAGATGGATTAGGAGAGAAGGTATTCACCAGGTGGCTTGGGAGTGCGTGCACAGCAGTCCACCATAGCCTGCCTGTGGTGCGTACATGTGTGTTTGTATAGGAGGATTGTGTTGAGAAGGAATCCTATATAATAAAACCCTAATATGCAAACGGCAGAATGACCAGTCACTATGATGCACACTGACCACCAGGAGGCTTGGGGGCAGCTCCTGCATTGAGCGTCTGCCCCCCTCCCTCCCCCACAGAGGGAGGCAATTGGGGACCAGTGGACAGCGCTAGGCCACCAGCCAAGGTGGGTGCTAGTGGGGGGGCCCCCAATCGCCCTGCCCGCCATTCACCCCACAGATGGGCCCTGATCGCTGGCCAGGCCTAGGGATCCTACCCTATGTATTGGGAATAGTCTCTTAGATTTAAAAATTAAAACCTGGCAAGGCTACTCTAACACTGAAAAAAACAGGATGAGGCAGCGATGACAGGCATGGACTCTGGCTTGCACATTTTGTGCTCAGCCCTGATTCTGACACTTATAACTGTGTGACAAAGCCAATTACTTAACTTCTCTCTGCTTCAGTTTTTCCACCCATAAGATGGGGAAAATGGTACTACTGCCTCAGAAGGATCATGCTATGTACTACTTTTTATAATCAGGGCGAAAATATGTAGTTGCCATATAACAGCAAGATGCCTTTCACCTGTATGAAAAGTATGGTCACTGGTGCATGCAGCGTCCCAGATTGCGAGAGGGATGTCCAACGGCCGGTTTACATCCCCCCTGAGGGCGCAGGCCAGGCTGAGGGACACAAGTTCCGTGCACTGGGCCTCTAGTCAGGTTATAAAGGGCCTTGAATGTAAGGCTAGTCTAGACTTTATCCTAAGGCCAATGGAAAACCATTAAAGAGCTTTGAGTAGAACAATAACGTGATCAGCTATGCTTCTCAGAAAGATAAACCAAGCAGCTGTGCAGGTTGATGAAATGGAAAAAGGAGAGACAGGAGGGAATAAAGGGAACAGTAGGAGCCAGGTAGCAAGAAATTGCAAGAGCAGTAGGACAGAGGGCACAAGGAAAGGGATGGGAAAGTGATTCAAGATACAGAACCAGGATTTAGTGACCAAGTGCTTGGATATGAGATATTAAGAGGGAAGGATTCAAAATGATGGCCACGCCCTGGCTGGTGTGGCTGTTGGTTGGCGCATAGTCCCGTACACCAAAAGGTGGCGAGTATGAGGAGGCTGGAGGAGGGGAGGTAAAAGGCCATGAAGACACTCAGCTGTCCTTTCCCCTGCCCAGCTCCCCTGCACATACCCAGGTTGCTGGTTTGATCCCTGGTCCTGATGGGGAACATGCTGTCAGGCATGTGCAAGAGGCAACTGATTGATGTTTTTTGCTCTTTCTCTTCCTTCCTCTCTAAAATCAATTAAAAAAAATTTTTTTTTAATGTTTTAAAAAGCCGGGCCATGTGGCTCAGTAGTTGAACATAGAGCTATGAACCAGGTCATGGTCTAATTCCCTGTTAGGGCATATGCGTGGATTGTATTCGATCCCCAGTTGGGGGCATGCAGGAGGCAGCCAATCAATGAATCTCTCATCATTGATGTTTTTATCTCTCTCTCCCTCTCCCTGCCTCTCTGAAATCAATAAAAATGTTTGTGTTTTTTTAAAAATATATTTTCATTGATTTTAGAAAGGAAGGGAGAGAGATAGAAACATCAATGATGAAAGAGAATCACTGATTGGCTGCCCCCGAATGCCCCATATTGGGGACGGAGCCTGCAACCAGACATGTGCCCCTGGCCGGAATCGAACCCAGGACCTTTCAGTCCACAGGCTGACGCTCTACCCACTGAGCAAACTGGCCAGGGCAATAAAAATCCTATCTAATAATAGACAAACATGGTAATTGACCATACCTTCGTTACACCTCCCACAGGCTAATCAGCATGATATGCAAATTAACCGCCAACAAAGATGGCGGCTAATTTGCATACCGCGGGCAGGGCGGGACAGTGCCATCCCGCCTGCCCTGCCGCCATCTGGGCCTGCTATCTGCGACCCAGGGCGGCAGAGCAGTGCAGCAGCGATTGGCCAGCCCGCCCAGCCTCCATCCGGGCATCCCCTGTGCGACCTGACCCGGGGCGGCGCCCCAACCCCCAGATCTGCTCTGCCATGTGCGAGCGCCACCTGGGAAGGCGGGGCAGGCACCGAGGGATCGGGCCTGCCATCTGCCCAAGGGGTCCCAGACTGTGAGAGGGCACAGGTGAGGCTAAGGGACACCCCCCTAGCCCCCCGCCCCCTGCCAGTGCACAAATTTTTGTGCACCATGCCTCTAGTATGTTAATTAAAAAAAAAAAAGAGGGGAAGAGAAATAGCTTTTTGAGGAAAGATCACAAATTCAATTTTAGACAAACTGACTTTGGACTGCCTATGGGGCAGATAGATATGGTCAGGGTTAGACAGAGAGACTTGGAAGTAACCGGAATACAGGTAAGTAGTAGCTAATCCCTAAAAATAAAGAGCGAGAGGAAAGAGCCAAGGACAGAGTTCTGGTGAACACCAGAATTTAAGGGAGGTGTGTTGAGAATTGGAGGTACCAGTACAGGGGCACTGAGGCCAGGGAACACAAGCTCCCCAGGCTGCCTTTCTACCTGAAGACGACCCAGTGCAAGGTTTAAGTATAACAGTTAACATCACTTAAAATCACTTACTTTAATATACAAGAAACACATAATACACAAAGAAAGCCCAAGAAAGCTATCAGTTCCTGAGCTGGTAGTTTAGGGGGAGTCGAAGAAAATGCGTCTTTCCAGTCTCCCAGGGAAAGAAGGGATGGGAGGACTCAGAATGTCACTAGACCTGGTGAACCCAGGGGGGCCACCCAGGGCCTAGTTCTCTGCCAAGGCAAAGTGCTGGTTTTCCTTGTCATGGTCCTGACCTTGCTCCCATGCTTGGCCTCCAGTTCTCAGAAGTCGTCCAGTTCCCAGAATGGCCCCATCCTTTAGTTCCCTAACATTTTCACTCAGGGGAGAAGGCCGCTTACCCTACAAAAGGCAGGATGCAAGTTGGGAGAGGGAGGGAGGTTGTTCAGGAGTGGGAAGACAGGGGGAAAGGGCCTCCCACCTCCATGCTGGACTTCCTAGGAACAGCCTCCCCCTCCCCCTTTACCTGTCGTAGTGTCCGAGTCCCAGGGGAGTTGTCATCCTGCAGGATGGTGAGGGGAGACCTCCCTAGTGCCTTGCCCCTTGGTTTCCGTCTATTTCGCTTAGAACCTAGGTGGGTAAAGAGTTAAAGAAAGGAGCCAAAATTAGGGGCTTACCGTTTATTCCTCCTAAACTATCTGTAGACATTATCCCAAGACATCATTCCAATTTCTCTCCCTTATAGCTTGCCCTTAGATTCTGTACCTGAAGGTCTAGGCGTCTCAGGGTCTCTGATGGGCTTGTCTGAGCCCTGGCTGGTCCTAAGGGTTTCTGAGGGCTGTCCTGTTTCTTCCTCGGAAAACACCTGCTTGGAGGGGAGCTCAGTCTGGCTCCCATGAGGCATCTGGTCCTCCAGGGAACACTGGGTGCCCAGAGGCAAGTCCAAGTCGGAAGATGAAGGTACCTCTAGGGGCAGAACAGGTTCTGGGGGCAGATTTGATTTGGGGGCTTCCGACTCAAATTCTTCACTCAGCTCTTTCACCAGAGAGGTTGTGAGCTCTAGAGGAGAGACATGAAGTGAGAGAGTGACTCCCTGATACAGATTGTTCAGCAAAGAGGAAAAAAATACAGAAGCCTTAGGATTCATGCCCTGGTGGGTGAGGAATTGAGAAGAGGGAAATCAAGGTGAGAGGGAGCAAAATGTTGAGGAAAGAGTGAGATGAGTTCACGGCAGGAGGATAGAGGCTCCTTTAAGAAGCCCTGAGAGGATGGCTTCATTGACCCCCCACCCAAGGATGCTAGCTGACAACCTCATCAGATTTCCCTGGGCCCAACACTTACCTCCGCTGCTGGTCTTCATAGGTGTCCGTGCAATGCCAAGGGTCGGAGAGCGGGGATCCGAGTCCTGGGCCTGATTAGCATCCTCCAGCTGCTCCCCCGCTGCTCGGTTTGGCTGTGGAGAGCTCTCCACCTGTCAAGACCAAAGGCCATTGAAGTATGGGCCCTGACTCTTCTTCCCTCCCAGCTCTCCAGCCTCAGGCCAATGTTTCAGGCAGGAATTGCCAAGCCAAGGCCTTCCGACATTCAGGGGAATGTAGAGGTGGGGAGTGGGGGGCTCTCTTAAAATCAGATTAGGCAGAGGCCCACGAATTCGGAGAGTTTCTCTTGCTGCCCCTCCCGCGGCCCAGAGTACCTGGATGGGAGTGCGCAGGATGCCGGCACTAGGTGAACGCGGGTCCGCCACTCGAGCCAGAAGCTTGTTGTGCGGCGGAGGCCGCGCCGGAGTGACTAGAACGCTCTTGGCTGAGCCCATCTCAATCCGGAAGAGGAGGGTGGGGCAGGGCCCGGCCCGGGCGAGGAGGGTATGCCTGTGAGAAGTGACTCCGGTCTCAGCCCCCACCGCGACCATGTTCGACCTCGGACTCCACACCACCCGATCTTCCCAGATCCCAGCTAAGGAACCTCCTGCCGCTGGGCCAGAGGCCTCTGTGGGGACGGTGCAGCTGACAAGGCGGCTCATTCCGGGCCTGCGGGGCCTTCTAACTCACTCATTTATTTAAATCACTTACCGGGCCCCAACTCCACTTCGGTGCACGGCAGCTGCAGCCTCAACTCCCGAAACTGAGTTTCAAACCTCCCGCCACGTCCTCTGCGTGACCCTATTGGCTGAGCGGACGCACGTTAGCCCCATGGGAGGAGATC